CTCAGTTTGAGGGCCCTTTTATTCAAATGTTTCCAGTACTGTGAATAAAGACAAGAGGTTCAACGCTGCCATCCACCCTGAATGTGTGTTTGTGCCTAAACCTGGTTCATCTTCTGCCAGTCAAAAGATCCTTCCAGATCAATGATTCATTTTCCCAAACATATTGGAGGATAGAAAAGGACAAAAATTGAAGTATTGAATTTCTAATGTGCAAGCTTATTCACTTAACAACAATGGAAAAATGAAAACAGCACCAGCCATGTTCAAGGCAGGAGAGTCAGTTTTGAGAATCCTGCGGTTTGCAAACGTACAAACGTTCTTTAGGATAAAAGAAGATAAGGAGGGATGACTCCAGAGCACAAAAGAAAATGGAATAAAGAGAGAATGGAGCGTCCAAAACAAACTTGTTAGTCAAACTTACAAACTGCTTCAGTCACAATCTGCAACTAAGCAGTTTATAATTCCTAAAATATACAAGACACCAATATGAAAATCAAAAATAATATAACCCACATTAGAGAAACAGCCAAACCCATTAGAAAAATCATCTTGGTTTATCAAGGCAGCTAGATCACAACTCATCTTGGTCCTGCTGAAGAAGCCACATTTTCAATCCAGTTTTTCTTACTGTATTATTTCAGTGCAATCCCACCTTCTCAGCTGTGTTGTTAGAATAAATGTCAGGATGCCCTCAGTTTTTATCAGTGTGCCTCCCACACTGGAGAACATTTTCTATATAAGGGTTCATGGCCCCCAAAATCTTGGCACTGAAATTGGCAATGTTTATTTTCAATAAAAAAGAAGACATTTAATGCTTCTAAGTGTGCTCCTTAATGGCTCACAAACTGCATGTCCAATTGGGATAAATAGGTTCAAAGTCCCATTTCCTCCAGTGTATCCACTACATCACTGCCCAGTCCATGTGCCATCTATAGCTGCCAGAACAAAAGTACAGCAGGTGGTCCCCCAAGGTTATCCTTTCCTGGTCTATAAAGCTCTTAAATTCACATGTATATTTCAAATGACAATTAAAGTACCAATAAAGGACAGGAAGGCCTGGAGGAACGTTGTCCATGGGCGATGGGTCAGACATGACTTCGCAACTAACAACAACAAATTTGTAGCTCAGGGTTGAAATGAGGGGTCCTTGGTGCTGTCTGAGCTTGGTTGTTTTCTTATAGATGTTTCATACCCAAACTAGGTATTAGCACTGATGATGTTACCTACTGCAGTTTGGGTAATGAAACATCTGCAAGAAAACAACCAAGCTCAGAGAGCACCAAGGACCTCACATAGTATCATGGGTAGCTATGTTTGGGTAATACTTCAATTGTTTGGCATATAGAATGTTAAGTACCAAAAATAAGATCCTTACTAACCTTGAAGGCAACGCTAGAGTATAACTCCTAGCTCTTAAGTTCATTATTACTTACATGGTTGCTATACTAAGCAACTGCTTGGACAAGCCAAGTGGTCTGGCTGGGCTTCAGAAGGACTGGTTCACACAACATACTGAACTATATGATGAGCTAGGTAGGAGAAAGCAAATGTCATTTTTTTTTCATTTTTTTAAGGGCTACTGAGGCCTGATGTGATAAAATCCTAGAGAGGAGTAATGTTTTCAGATAGTTCTCAACTTTTCAAATCTTTGCAGATTCTTATGCTTGTACTTTGTCTTTT